TATTTTATCAATACGGAATTTCCTGAACTTGAAGACTGCACTGCAGTTTTATAGAACAGCGGTTAGCAAACTTCCTGTATCAAGGACAGACAGTAAATATTTTAGGCACAGAGGTCCACATACAGTCTCTGTTGCACAGTCTTTGTTTTTGTTTTGGTTCATTACAATCCTTTAAAATGTAAAAGCCATTTTTAGCTAAAGAGCTATATAAAAACAGACTAAGGTCTGAATTTGGCCTATAAACAATAGTCTGTCAACTTCTGATACAGAAAATGTCCTGCTTTTAGGAAATATGCAATAAAGTAACTTTCCTTCATAAGATTCAGCAACAATAATAATAATGATAACATGTGAGAGACAAAACACATGGCAAAATGTTCACATTTGATAAATCTAGGTGAAAGGTGAAGATCGCAGTACTAAGCTTGTAACTTTTCTTTAAATTTGAATTCTTTTCAAAGAAAAGGTTAATATTATAAAAAGCGATACATGTCCCTGGGGGTTTAAACCCAGAAGACTCAATGTGCAGGCCTGGGGCAAGGTTCTGGTGGCTCACAGGAAAGAATGAGAACTCGCACAAAGCAAAGGGTATCTGTCCTCGAGGTCATTTCAATACACACCCATGGGTCCAAAGGTATCTAGATTCTCCTGTCATCACCAGCAAACTCCGACGAGGCAACATGACGGGCACTGTGACACCATCTGGGTGCTTAAAATCCATGACGATCTTGAAGTAAAGGTAAAAGCATAAAGATTAACCCAGTGTCATACACTCCAAGGAGAAGAATGACTCACTGATTCTATCTTTCTAGGCTAACAGAGATTAAAACGTGACAATGCTTAGAGAATTTATGTGCACTCAAACTTCGGTGCACATAAAAATCAACTGAATGACTAAAAAACATACTTCATCCATAGAGAGACTCAGCAGGTCTAGGGTGAGAGGCTCAGGAGTTAGCATTTCTAGCAAGCACCCCAGAAAGTTATGATGCAGGTAGTCCGAGGACCATACATACTACACAAAATACTAGGGTAAGTGGTCTAATGCAACAACTGTGGAGCTGAACATTCATATCCTGGCTCTTCCATTTACCAGCCGTGTGGCCTAAGGGACACGCAAGCCCCTTAATCCCTCTGTGCCTCAATTTTTAATAAATTAAATATATAATACATTAAATATATGATGATATAAACATACTCGCATACAGTAAATACAAAAAATAGTGGCTATTATTTTTAGTGACCATTACTATTAATAGAATTATAATAACTAATAATCCAAGAAGAAATCAGTAATAGTTACAGATTCTCATATTCATTTTTGCCTTTATAGTCATGTACCATTTTGAATATTAGAAGCTAATTTACAAGAGATAGTCAAAGAACACATGAACATTTTCAGTCACTCTTCCCAGGTGTGCTCAAGTATTATTATGAATAGCAACTTATAAAGAGACAATACTCAAGAAAATGTTTTTGTTCTCAGCACCCAAACACCAAAAGAATTCAGTCTAAACATAGCAGCAGCTGATAACTGTGAATTTAAAAGGCATGCCACAGGGTATAAATATGTTTTTAAGTGAATAAATCAATCCATTTGAAAAATATCAGTGGGATGAAGAGAATTTAGCACAGTACTTTTGTTAAAGGTAAACACAACACAATTCCTTGCATGAAGTAAGCATTCAGTAACTGTTAGCTAGTATTAATAATAATAATGCTATATCAAATTAGATAATGCACATGAATTTTTTTGAAATATAAAGAATTATATAGGTTTAAGCTGGTTTACACTTTTCTTATCTGACCTTCCAAGGGGAGGAAGAGGTCAGTGGGGAGAAAAAGGGGACATCTGTAATACTTTCAATAATAAAGATGAATTTTAAAAAAAAAAGGAAAGCAAGATGATAGACTTTAATTTTCCAATAATTATCTATTCCAAATGACCACACATAATTTCAAATAGTCTTACTCCAACAGCATTCTATTTATAAATGTTGTAGATGAAGTGTGAAGTTTTGGGGGTAAGTATACTGATGCCTGCAACTTCCCCAAGTGTATGAATAAAAGAAGATAAATATTGATAGGACAGATATTTGATAAAGCATATATGTTAAAATGTTAAGTGTAGAATCCAGGTGGTAGATATATTCTGTATGAAAATTTTCATAATGAAATGTTGGGAATAAAAATCCAATGTGGCCCAATTTTTAAAATCATTTTTAAAAGACTAGTTTATTAATTTTTAGAGAGAGGATGGGAGAAGAGAGAAACACTGATGTGAGAATGGAACATCAATTGTCTGCCTCCTGCACACCCCATCCTTACTAGGGAATGAGCTCCAAAGGGGGCATGCGTCCTGACCAGGAATCAAACCAGCAACCTCTCAATGCACAGGACAATGCCCAGCTAACTGAGCCACACCAACAGGGCCTGTGGCCCATTTTTAAACCAATATATATAGGTCTCAATTTTCTGAATAGAAGCTGAGGTCTACACATAGGAAAGCATAATGAGCATATTTATTAATTATTTTATTAAAGACAATCATTTGTGGTTTAAAGGGATGAAAAGTGTTGATGAGAAAAATATTCTGAAAGACTAGACTCTAATGATTCATTCAGTAGACAAATACAGGGATGGGCAAAAGTAGGCTTAGAATTGTGAATATGTGAAACACAGAGTTTATTCTTGCATTATTATTTCTTAACTATTGTATTATTTATTTGTATTACAACTGTACACCTACCTTTGCCCATGCTGTCTATATTGTGTGGGGCATCAAAGGCTGCAATGGTGTTCTCTGCCCACCTAGAGATTACAGTTTCTGGCTAATTAATAGTCAACATGTTTTACAGATACACAATGCCTACATATTTGTTAAATTCAAATACATTCTCTCCTATCAACAGAGAGTAATGATTTCAAAATAGGAAAATCTCAGTTTCAATAAATGATCACAAACTGACTGACAAGGGAAGTGTGAACACGACACTAATTTGGAAGCACTTTACTTACCGTTTACCAGTTTACTATGACAGGATACCACAATGGACAAAACAAACATCCAGATGTACGAGGTGCACAGGGCAAGGTATGTGGGAAGGAGCACAGAGCTTCCATGTGCTCTGAGCTCACCACTCTCCCAGCACCTCCAAGTGGTCATCCACCTGGAAGCTCTCCAAACCCCATATTACTGGGATGTTTATGGAGGCTTCATCACATTAACCAATTATTAACTCCATTTCCAGCCCCTCTTCCCGATCTGAAAAATGAGGGGCAGGGCTGAAAATTCTAAGCTGCTAATCACTGCTTGGGTTTTCTGGTGACCAGCCCCCAGCCAGAAGCCCAACAAGAGACATTTCATTACAAAAAGGACATTGCTATTACCCAGGAAATCCAAGGGGACTTAGGAATTCCATGTTAGGAATCGGAGTGAAAGACAGAAATATTAGAACAAAAGATGCTCCTGGGCTCTAATCACTTAGGAAATCATATGGTTTTAGAAGACCTGAGCCAAGAACCTGGACAAAGACTAACATATATTTTTTCTATTATCTCACAGCTATATAATGTGAGAGTATAATTTTTAGTTTAGAAAATAAGTTTTACTTATGAAATTACATGTACATTTTCTATGAAAGTTTTCTTAAAACATCCCATCACAAAAATAAAGAATTATCAGTATCATCATACTTAAAGTGTCTGTATCTTAACTAAATAATGATAGTTAAAAAAACAAAAAAAAGAAGATTAAAAGAAAATTCACTAAAGATTCACAATCGGTAATGCTCTGCTGTAACTGCTGACTCATTCTGCCATGTGCTAGCCCTGCTCCAAGGAGTTTTTCCCAATTATTCGTTTTGGCTTTACCTATTTTCTTTATTTTCTGGGGTCGCAGACTCAATAAAGATCAAGTTTACAGAAAGTTCATGGGGCATGACTGAGGATAATGTTCAGTTCAAAGCAAACAAACATAAAACCCTAGACATCCTGATCTTATAAACCCTTTACACATCCAAAATACAACAGAATAAAGCCCCAGACACAGCTATCACTCTATCACTCAAATAACGATAAGATTCATAACAAACAATCTCCATGTTGGCTGAACAGGAAATCGAGGAATGTATTGCTCCTAGGAACACTTCTGAGAAAGAAGACAAACTTAATCCTGAACCTTTTTGGTTAGAAGTAGGCTGCGATCATTAACCTTTTGAAATCCCAAAGAGTATATAGGCAAGAGACCATATAATGAGAAGAATGATATGTGATTCATAGAGAATGATGAAAGCTGAGAGGACAGAAGTGACGATAATGCAGAAAAGATTTCATAGCTAAGAATTTAGCAGAATAGACAGATGTCTACCTGTTTCCCATAGCCTGCCAAATATAAATGCTCTGTTGTTGCACTAATGCTTTCATTGGTCTCAAATGAAATGAGTTTATTTTAAAAAGCAAACAAGTGATTCCACATACCTCATCATGGCCATATCTACTATATTTGAAAAAGTGGGAAAAGAAAGAAAGAAGGAAAAAGGGAGACAGATTCACAATTGCAAGGACACAAGAATGAAGCTACACAACATTTAAGAAGAAATACAGAATGTGAACAATGTCTGTTCACATACTTTCTCTGGGTTTGCAAATGTAGAATTCTACCATATCATGAGATAATTAGTCCACTGTGGGGGAGAAGAGAAACTTAGAACATTTTCAGTAAAACAAATATAGTTTTCTTTCTCTACAAAAGATGATACTCTTAGAAGCACACTTTGCTAAGTTGACAAGTAGCTGGAAGAGAAGCTTGCTGGTATGCCACATTTTTCCAAGAGAGGAATTAATATGGATTTTGCCTAGGAGACCTTGGAGACCAATGGCTAATGTCAGTGACCCTTAAATCTACCTATCCCATATAAGCCTGCTTAGTTTCTATCCTTGAAGAAATGCAAAAATAAAAAACTACAAGCCAATATCCCTTCCCTCACTTCTAACAAAGTATGTTTTAAAACAACAAAACAAGAGTCTTAAATCCATTTGCTAAATTTCTCAAAAATGGAATCTTGTGAAACTCAAAGGAAGGAGACAATGGCAGCAACACACCCTGAAATCAACATACAGGAGATAAGACCTCCTGTTTGAAATGACTAAACAAGCTCTGTTCCCTTGTTCTGCAGTGAGAAGCGCTTTTATAAATTAGAGGCCTCAATAGTCTTATCATGAAGGGGGGAAAATCTCACATTAGAACATGAAGATGAGATGGTACCTTATGACACAGAAGAGTGATCCAGCAAGTAGTAACTGCAGCAGCTAATACCACTGTAGCCCAACGAAACTTATTTTCCATTGCTTCTGAGAGAGGATGTGAGAAGCAGAGCACTATTTTGTGTTTCGGGTGTGAAAACTTTCGTATTGATCAGGTACCATGAGCACATTTAGGGCACACCTAGGAACTTGTCTATAGTACTGCATATGTAAAACAAGCAAAATTAGATTAGGCTAGAAGTTTAAAACATCGCAAACAAATCTACTATATGTCAGCAAATTCTACCTTTCAAACACAACTCTGCCTAACAAAACTAGGTCCTAGCTGTTGAATGAACAGATGATTTTGAACTGCTTTATCTGGCTAAGCTCAAGTAAATTATAAAATAAAAAAAGAGAAGGCATCTTTTAGTTTGAGTCTAACTCTAAACACATTGCCAAATGGCACAACAGAGAGCAAAA